GAATGAAATCTTGCTATTTACAACAAAATGGATGGATCTAGAGAGTATAATGCTAAGTGAAATAAGTCATTCAGAGAAAGACAAATACCATATGATTCCACTCATACATGGAATTTAAGAAATAAACAAAGAAAAAAAAGACATAAAAAAACAGACTCTTAAATATAGAGAACAAACGATGGTTATAGAGGGGAGGTGGGCGGGGTGGAGGGGAAATAGTTGATGGGGATTGAGAGTGCACTTATGATGAACACTGAGTAATGTACAGAATTGTGTAATCACTGTATTGTACACCTGAAACTAGTATAATACTCTACATTAGTTGTACTGGAATTTTAAAAATTAAATAAGCTATAAATAAATAAAACTTATCATTTTCAGCTCAAAAAACAATAAAAGAATACTAGTGCAAAAAGATAGATAGAAGAGAATTTACTAACACAATGTCATAAAAAATCAAGGTGTAGAAATCAACAGCCATCACAAGTACAAAAAAGAGCCAGATAGAAGATGTAATGGAAGAGAATGCCTTTGTTACCATAACCAGAAAACAAAATGAAAAAAGAAGATGAAAAAGAAAACAACCTAATAAAAACATGGGCAAAAGATCTAAACAGTTTACCAAAGAATGCCTATGTAAATAGCAAATAAGCTCACCAGTCATTAGGAAAATACACATCAAAACCACAATATGACAGCACTTCTACCCATTAGGACGGCTATAATCAAAAAGACAATAAGAAATGTCGGCAAAAATGTGGAGCAACTGGAACTCTCACTAACTGCTGGTGGAAATTATACAACCACACTGAAAAACTGCTTGACAGTTTCTTTTTCTTTAAAAGCTGAACATATATCTATCATATGATCCAGTCTTTCTACTCCTAGGTATTGACCCAAGAGAAGAGAAATCATGTGTCCATGCAAAAGCAAAGACTGTACACAAATGTTCATTAACAGCTTTATTTTTAACAGGCAAAAAAAAAAAAAAAAAAAAAAAAAAAATGAAAACAATCCAAATGTACATCAAGAAGACAAACAAATCATGGAATGTATTCAGCAATAAAAAACAATAAATATTGATAAACACAATTATCTCAAAATAACTATGCTAAGTAAAAGAAGCCAAATACTATATATTATTATATGACATACTATATGGTTATATGAAAATAGAAAATGCAAATAAATCAATAGTGACAGAAAGCAGATCAGTGGTGGCCTAGATGGGGGCTGTTGTTAAAGAGGGGCAAAAGGAAAGTTTTACAAGGGGAAACGAGGAAACTTCTTGAGATGGATGGATATGTCCATTATCTTGATATGCGGCATTCACTGTATGTCAATTATACCTCAATAAAACTTTTCTAAAAACACCATCCAAAATATAAGGCTTCCAAAATATGTTACCATAAACTAGAGAATAGATTTTACAGTAAGAGCATTTAATCAGTGAGCATTTAATGAGCAACTACTATATACAGAGCACTATGTTAGAAACAGTGGGGAATGTTCAACATGTTCTTCAACCTCAAAAGTTGACAGCTTAGTTGGGAAATAAGACCTCCATGAGAAACAACTAAAAAAACAGTAAGTAGGTCTTTAAGAATAACACCCAATAAGCATCTTAGCAAAGGGTGACATTAGTAAAAAGTGAAATGGCATTGCCAAAAAAATAAGACCTCAGCTCAGTCTTAAAGGCTGGAGAAAAGCTGAATAAGCAAGGAGAAGGAAAACAGCTGTTCTAGACTGAAGAAGGATTCAGAGGAACGGCAGAGGCAGACATATGTGGGGTGTGTCCAGGGAGCGGCGAGTGGAGAACATACTTCTGGTACATGCAATAGCAGGGTGAAGCCCCCTCGTAAGGAAGGTAACGTCAGGCAGGAGGAGTTCATCTATCATGCAAAACGGAACGAGGATCCCTGGAAGCTTTTAAACCAAAAAGGCAACATGAGAATAGTCCCTTAGGAAAATCAGACTGAGAGTAACAAATGGAAAAATAAGCAGGGAAGAAAAACAAGGGTGTAGTTAATCCAGCCAAGAACAAGCTGAAATCATCTTTCGGTAGTAGAAGGGAGAGGGGGAAGCTACCTAACAAAAACTAGACAAGATTTAGTAGGACACTAGCTAGAGAGAGAGCAAAGAAAGAAATTGGAAAAGATTGCCTAAGATGGTGCTGACAGGCTTGGGATCAAGTAGGAAAAGTTTTATTAATTTTTATCAAAAGTAACAACTGCATTTGTTGGCCAAGCAGTTCCACATACAATGTCTTGCTCAGACTCAGTTATGCTGAATCTGAAATGATGAATTTACATCCAAACGCTGATATTCTACAGGTAGCTCTAGGTCAAGAGAAAGGTCAGGACTGGAAACCGAAACCTGGAGTCATTCCCAGAGAAGACACAGGTGAAGCAATGAGAAATACACTGACATTCCCACAAGAGTTTAAAAGAACATAATGGTATTCCTAAAAAGAGTATTAATATTCTCTTTGAACATTGCCCGTGGGCCTCTGAGAAAAGCTACACGTGTCTGTTAATACCAATTAACAAAAGATTCCTTTTCTTCATCACTGCACCAAAAGATCAAAACTGTACCTCCTCTTGATACAGAACTTCTGAAGAGTTTCCGTCTTCTGATCCGGCTTGTTCTTCCTCTTCCCATCTTCATATCAAAACTGCAGTTTCTGTTCAGGTGCCCAATCTAATATAAAAGCTTTTTCTTTGCCTTTCTTTCTAGTTGTATGATAAGCACTGTTCTTTGTACCTACAAGGATTTGAATACACAAGCTTATATTATTTGCTAAACCATTTCTCTAGTGTTTTTGTACACAAACCGTTTATACTGTAAGCTAAACCATCATTCCTTATGCAGTCAGGGACTGCCCATTATACTGCTCCCTCTGAAACAGTTTTATGTTAAGGTCCTACTAAATGCTGATTAATCGTCAAAATCCTCAACTATTTCACCACTGTGTGCTTTGGTAACTCATGTATCTCAATTCAAATCAACATTTACTAAGCACCAACCTAACATACTTGGAAAAAACAATGGCCATAAAGCTTCTATAAGCTAAGTCTTAGAGGAAAAAAGAAAACATTCTGGGATGCCTGGGTGGCTCACTTGGTTGAGTCTGACCCTTGATTTCAGCTTACGTCATAATCTCACAATTCATGAGCCCCACTGCGCTGACAGCCAAGAGCCTCCCTGGGACTCTCTGCCCCTCTCTCTCTACTCCTTCCCCACTCGCACACACATGCTCCCTCTCTCTAAGCAGTTTTGTTTTTCTTTAAATGCTCTTTCAATGTGAAGTAAATAATTTGTTCTTAGAACTAGGATCCTGAAATCAATAGAAGTAAATGGGAGTTTGCAACAAATTACAGAGGACATGACCACCAAGAAGGCAGACGAAACAAGGAAATGATCGTGAAATCTACACTGACTATTGGAATATTACTCAGCACTCAAAAAGAATGAAATCTTGGGGCACCTGGGTGGCTCAGCTGGTTAAGCATCCGACCTCAGCTCAGGTCATGATCTCACAGTCTGTGGGTTCTAGCCCCACATCAGGCTGTGCTGACAGCTCAGAGTCTGGAGCCTGCTTTGGATTCTGTGTCTACATTATTCTCCGCCTCTCCCCTGCTCACACTGTCTCTGTCTCTCTCACTCTCTCAAAAATAACTAAATGTTAAAAAAAAAATTTTTTTTAAAAGAAAGAAGTCTTGCCAATTGCAACAATGATTTCCATATGTGGAATTCTTTTGTTTATTTATTTTTGAGAAAGGGGGAGAGGGGCCGAGAGAGAGACAGAGACACGGAATCCCAAGCAGGGTCCAGGCTCTGAGCTGTCAGCACAGACCTGACCCAAGGCTCAAACTCAAGAACCCTGAGATCATGACCTAAGGTGAAGTGTGATGCTTAACCAACTGAGCCAGTTAGGTGCCCCAACATATGTGGGATTTAAGAAAGCAGATGGGGACACCTGGGCGCTCAGTAAAGAGTCTAACTTCAGCTCAGGTCATGATCTCCTGGCTCATGGGTTCAATCCCCGCATCAGGCTATGTACTGACAGCTCAGACACTGGAACCTGCTTCGGAGTCTGTGTCTCCCTCTCGCTCTGCCCCTCCCCTGCTTGCATTGTGTCTCTGTCTCTCAAAAATAAACATTAAAAAAATTTTTTAATAAAAAGAAACAAAGCAGTGAACATCGGGGGAGGGAGGGAAAAACACAGGATAATAACAGAGAGGGAAGCAAACCATAAGAGATTCTTAAAGACAGAGAACAAACTGAGGGTTGTTGGAGGGGAGGAGGACAGCGGGATGAGCTAAATGGGTGATAAGCATTAAGGAGGGAACTTGCTGGGTGTTACTGTATCATTAAATTATTAATCATTAAATTCTCCTGAAACCAGTACACTATATGTTAATTAACGTGAATTTAAATTTTTAAAAATGGTATTTTCCTGCTAAAAAATGACCACTGCAGTTTCTACATGGTACTTCTTTGGAAGCATAAAAAATGAAATCCATTAAGCACACCAGCATGATACAGACAATGCAGTGGAGTATTATGCAGCCATTAATAAGAGGAAGGTATGCACCGTGTTCAAGATACATTAAGTGAAAAAAATAAAGTTGCAGAACATTCAATGATCCCGTTGGGGTTGGCTTTTGACGCATCCTGTACGTTTATGAAACAAGAGGATTTAAGGAAGGTTATTCCAAAGACGTGCCCGGGCAGGGGGCCTTTACTATTACTTTGGCAGCCTCCTGTCCTCTGCCTTACATATGTCTCAACACATAAGTGACACAACAGGAATATTCCTTAGGGGCGGGCATATGTATGCAGCGTAACCACACGACTGCTTTTAAACTCTTCGACTCATAAGCACCGGACGGAAACCAGGAAGAAGTCCTGGCGCTACGGCGACCCCACCCCCGCGGGGGAAGGCTCGCCGATCTACCCAGAGTCCCGAGGCCAACCGCGGCCCGTCCCCTCCGGTGCCCAGCGCTCCGCCCGCACCCGGACGCCGGGTGACAGCGCGACGAACGCCACGGGCCTCGCTCCCACAGGCACGGACTCGCACGGGAGGCCGGGTCTCGGCCCCGGCGGTACGAACTCCCGGCCGCAGGCTCCCGCGCACCCCCAGCGCGACTCGACCGCGGTTGAAGGGGCTACACCCTCTGAGGGATGGCCAGGTGACGGGGGTGACGGCCGTCGCAGCGTAACGCCAGGCCTGGTGGGGGTCTGCGAGCTGAGCTGTTCTCTTCACCCCGAACAGTGAAAACAAACGGAGAGCTCCAGCGCTCCCCGATCCCGGGACCGGGACCCCGGGTTCACCGCTTTCCGTCTCCCCGTCGTCCTTCCGGCTCACCTCGCGGCGGCGGCGCCGGGCACACCGCACGAGGAAACCAAAATCAGCGCCCCAGAGAAACGTGGGTTAAGGCAAGAGCCCAGCGTCACACGGAGAGGTCGAGCTGCCACGCCCGCTTCGAGTCCTGACCAACCCAAGTCCTCAGGCGACCCGCGGAGGTCTAACGGTGCTGTAGCCCCCGCCTCCTGGCGTGCGACTGCGCCTGCGCCTTCGTGTGCGCGTGCGCCCAGGTTCCCGGAAACGCCACGCCGTGGCGCCGGGGTCAGGGGTAAGAAAACCCTGCGGTCCCCGGGCAGGGAAGCTGAGCTCCATACAGCTGGCCTGCGGAGTCCTTCCTTCCCTAATAGAGGGGACGAACCTCCTCCGGCGTGCGTCCCGACCCGGCCCCTAAAGCCGCCAGGCCCCGCCTGGTCCCTCCATCCACCGACTCGGGCCGAGGTAGCATCCTAGCAGACAGCGTCAGGCCCTACCTGCCAACCTTTGCCTTGACCCCGCCCTTCCCTTCCCCGGCCGACCCGGCCTCGCCCCTTTACTCGGTTAGTCCCGCCCCACTTCACGTTCTTTAGAGTAGCTCTCCCGGTACCATCTTTACCGAAGTTCAAATCCTTCCTGGATATGGAGCTCAATTTCTGCCTCCTCCCCCGCCTTGATTGCCATCTATGCTTAGCGACTTGCTTCCAGAGAGTACGTTGTGCAAAGGGGAGAATATTAACTACAGTGGAGAAACCTGGCTGATACTCCCTGGTCACGTAATGAGGATTGCTAGTAATCATGTTGATGTTGGGTTCACCATATGTAAGAAGGGTAGTTCATCTCTGGTATTCCTCCCGAAACCTCATAACCCCAGTTCTTCCTTGCGGAAAATACTAGACAAACCCAAAAACACCCGACCATGTACATTGACAAAAGCTGTCAAGTTCGTGTAAAACAAGTGAACTCTTGAGAGTCTCTCATTAGGCGGAGAAAATTAAGGAGACATGACAGTTACATGTAATGCGGCATTCTGGAGGGCATCCCGGAAAGGAAAAAGGGTTCTAAGGGGAAAGCTAGTAAAATCCAAATAAAGCACGGAGCTTAGTCAATACTACTGTTCCATGTTGCTTCCTTGTGACCAATAATAGTAAGATTCTAATAATAGAATTCGATGAGGAGTATATGGAAGTTCTCTAGTACGTTTGCCACTTTGCAGCAAATCCATTCTAAAATTACGTTTATTGAAAAGTAAAAGGGGGACTGCAAAACGTCGGTTCAGATTTGAATCTATGATTCATGCCATCATCAAGGATCAAGGCTCTTTCTAATTTTCACCTGTAGTTTGCTTCCTCATGGTGTCAAGACAGTTTTTCTGCAGCTCCAGCATCACGATCTCACACAAATGCATTCAAGACAGGAAGAAAAGGATCACATGAAACAAGTATTTTCCTTTCATGAGGGAGGAAAATAATGTCTACTACCTTTTTCTAGATGGGAATTGACAAAGATGCTCCCCTTCAGCAAACTCAAGCCAGGCTGCTCTGAGGCTGCTTCTCAACGAGACCTCAACCCTGGCCTATGAAAAGTACAAACTCAGAACAACTGGTTTCATCCACTACCCGCCCCCTACACACACAAATTAAAAGACTTAGCATTATATTTTCAAAAAGCAAACACTAACTTAGTTTCTAATAGCTCACAGCCACATCCTTAAGGCGATCCTAGCCCTCTATACCTGCCAAAAGAATATCTGTTTGTTCTAACCAACAATTGATAATGGGCCCTTGGGGCGCCTGGGTGGCGCAGTCGGTTGAGCGTCCGACTTCAGCTCAGGTCACGATCTCACGGTCCATGAGTTCAAGCCCCGCGTCGGGCTCTGGGCTGATGGCTCGGAGCCTGGAGCCTGTTTCCGATTCTGTGTCTCCCTCTCCCTCTGCCCCTCCCCCGTTCATGCTCTGTCTCTCTCTGTCCCAAAAATAAATAAACGTTGATAATGGGCCCTTCAGCACCCTTTATTAGAGGATTTACTAAAAAGGATTCACAATTTGAGTCCTTCCTCTGTCCATTTGAGGTATAAATCTATCTCTTACAACTCAGTAGTGTCTTTCTTAAGGATTTGAAACGTAATCATCAGAAAAGATAGGGCCTCTGTCTCCCAGTCTCTGTGTAGCCCACACAGCTGGCCTAATGGCATTTACACTAACACACTCTTGGTAATTCTTCATTTCCCTGACTCTACTCAAGCCCCTCCATTCCCCCTCTCTGTGCCCTTATTCTCCCTTTAAAACACTCAGCCACCTCTGTACAAATCCAAGTTAAGTTCATTTCACGCTGGACCCAATTTCCCGTTTCAATAGTATATTACTGATTAAAATCTGTCCTTACCACCTTAACCAGTATCCAGCGTTGTTTATCTTTGATAAAATTAAGTAAATTGCTTAGATTTTCATATCTCCTAAACAGCTCAGTCACAATTTGATTCCGGGAATTAAAATTCATGCACCACCCTTTTAAGAAGGCTTATTGAACATCTATATAAGCTTAGAATGTAAGAAGAAAAGCCAGTGTCAGAGTTCTGTGAGGGTAAATAATCGTGGGCAGGGGAAGACCCTAAGAGCTTCATAACTTGTCATTTAACAATACTGTTTTCCTACATCTTTTATGTTAGTAGACACCATAGAACTGGGTACTTTAGGACAGAACAACTGCTTTGAACCAGTGGGTAGTAAAGATGTGGATTTATTCCACAAGTTAAAAGACATGATAAAAATTCTTTCTCCATATAGCAGCCAGGATGATCTCAGACTTGACTCACAACTAACGAGTATCTTCCATGCTAAACATCAGCAGTACTAACAGAGATCTGGGGCCTTCATCTTTACTCTTTTGTTTTCTTTCTCAAGTTGTTCAGAGGTCAGACAAGGTGCTATGTATGGAAAGTGGTGGTGACCTCGCAAATACACAACCAGGATCAAGACCCAAATGTGACAGGGAAAAAAAAGATAAAAATCATCAAAACAGAAATTAATTCACTGGCTTTAAATTAGCATGCTTTTCAAAAAAATAAAGTTTCAAAACACTTCCCATACTTAAATCTGTCCTTTCCTTTGTGATGCTTCCCCTGTTCTTATGCTTACAAAGTCCTTTTCCCACAAATTTTAGTTATTTTTCCTTACACTTGTTTTATGGTTACATTTATAAAACTATACATTTAAAAAGTGAGAAAGCACTTTTTTGTCTTGTTAGAAATTAATCAGTGTACCTTATGCAATCATTTTGGGGATAATTCTTTCTTACCCCCTTAATTGTTAATACCACTTTCATCATAAGCTAAATTCATATTCCCATGTGATATTTTATGCATTGCATTTTCTTGAGCATCCTGCGTCATTGGCCATCAAGTCTTGTGTTGGTACAAGTACCAAAGGGATAAACAAATCAGGCAGAAAATATGATTCGTGGTCCTCTTGTTTTGCCTTTGGAAACAGCAGGCCTCCTACCATGCCCAAAGTTCCCTGCACACTATGCACTATCTCTGTGGCTTAATTTAGTGAATTTAATTCATCCCACTTCCTTTTCACACTGGCTCACCCCAAGTATAGAAGAAAGTAGGGAGTGGTGTGGAGGGAGGGCCAGCAAATGACAGACCAAGTATACACTTTGATAAAGGAGAAAATCCAAAACAAAGCACTTAGTTATCTTGAGTGGAAACAAAAAAAAAATCCCCAAAGGTTACACTGCACAACTCCATCTCTATGACATTTTTGAAACAATAAAATTTTTAAATGAAGAACAGATTACTGCTTCCCAAGGAATTGAGTGGAGGTGGGGGTGGGCAACAGAGAGATGTTTGGCTATAAAAAAGCAACAATGGGGATCTTTGTGCTGATGGAAATGTTTTCAACATCTCTAGTGGTGGACAGACAAACCTAAGCATGTGATAAAATTGTATAGATCCAAATACACAAATAAGTACAAGTAAAACTGAGGAAATCCGAATATGATTGATGGATTGTTTTCATGTGACTATCCTTATTATGATATCCTACTATATTGTTGCAAAATGTTACCATAGATGAAAACTGTGTAAAGCGTAAGGAATCTCTGTATCTTTTTTTACTGCTATATGCAAATCTGCAATTATCTCAATAAAAATTTGGGTCAAAAAGAAGCAAAGGTGTTTCCCAAATTGTTTGTTTTTTGCAACTAATTGGAAACCCACCTTGTTTGCAACATAATTAGAAACTATCTAAAGCACTGCTTGTAACTTTCTGTTGTAATGGAGATACTATAGATCTGCACTATCCAAAACAGCGGCCACTAATACATGTGACTACTAGCACTTGAAATATGGCTAATGTAACTAAGCACTGAATTTTAAGTTGTATTATTTCGATTAAATTTACATTTAAATAGCCACTCATGGCTATCATACCAGGCAGTGCAGAAATGAGATTTGGTTTCATAGCCCCTTTTCCTCTGTTGTAAATAAGAAATAAGAGGGGCGCCTGGGTGGCTCAGTCCGTTGAGCGTCCGACTTCCGCTCAGGTCACGATCTCACGGATTGTGAGTTCGAGCCCCGCATCGGGCTCTGTGCTGACAGCTCAGAGCCTGGAGCCTGCTTCTGCTTCTGTGTCTCCCTCTCTCTCTGCCCCTAACCCACTCGCATTCTGTCTCTGTCTCTCTCAAAAAATAAATAAACATTAAAAAAATTTTTTAAGAAAAAAGAAAATTCATTTCCCACCATTGACCTAATTTATGAACTTCTTAGGATCCATTTCCTCGCTTTAAAATGGGGAGGGACGCCTGGGTGGCTCAGTTGGTTAAGTGGCCTACCTCAGCTCAGGTCATGATCTCCAGATTCACAGGTTCAAGTCCCTCATGAGGCTCTGTGCTGACAGCTCAGAGCCTGGAGCCTGCTTCAGATTCTGTGTCTCCCTCTCTCTCTGCTGCTCCCCCGCTCACTCCCTCTCTCTCTCAAAAATTAATAAACATTAAAAAAAAATAATAAAAAATAAAATGGGGAAAATAAGATGCACCCTGACAAGTTATTTTGAATGCAAGAAAGGGCTTCAAACCCCTCCTTCCACCTGTACACTGCAGAACCTGCATACAAGTAACCTGATGACCCTGCAAGTGTCGAGGGAGGTAACCCTGTGACGATTTAGTGACTGTTCCCCACTCTAATTGTGAAAACCAACCAAGGACAAACCGGTAGATTTGCTTTCGCATACTTAGGGAAGAAAACAACACACACTTGATCTCCTAGCTTATTCCACAACTATAGTTCCAAACACTTCAAGAGATTTTTTTTTTCCTCACCCGGAAAAACAAACAAAAAAGTCCCTACAAATGCCCTATTTGTTGAATTACACAAGTCAATGGTTGAATAGTTGAGAGGCTACAAAGAAAAACCCTTGGAGAACCAGGGATACAGGCTCAGTTTAGACTCAGTGAGGGACATGGCCAAATAGAATGATTCTCTCCGCTGCCAGGCGGGCAGCTACCTAACCAGCCTCTGCCACCCACCGGCCCTTCCCATTCTCTACCACCCCTGGGAGGTTCCCGGGAAGCCACGCCCTAAGGGGGAGGTGCGTCCCGCCCGCGCGCCCCTAGCGCCCTCTAACCTTGCGCAGGCGCGCCGAACTTTGTGCATAAACTCCAGGGGCACCGAGCGCCGCGAACGCCTTCTGAAGGTCCGCTCCCCACGCAAGGCCTTCGTGCACCCCACGCGCAACCATGTCGTCACACACCCGCGTGGCTCTGGTCACCGGGGCCAACAAGGGCATCGGCTTCGCCATCGTGCGCGACCTGTGCCGGCAGTTTTCGGGGGACGTGGTGCTCACGGCGCGGGACGAGGCGCGGGGACAGGCGGCAGTGCAGCGGCTCCAGGCCGAAGGACTGAGCCCCCGCTTCCACCTGCTGGACATCGACGACCTGCAGAGCATCCGCGCCATGCGCGACTTCCTGCGCAAGGAGTACGGGGGCCTGGACGTGCTGGTCAACAACGCGGGCATCGCCTTCAAGAGTAAGGGGGTGGGGGCACGCAGGGGAGGTGGACACCACGGAGCACCTCCAGCCAGGGTGGGCTGCATCTGTTGGGGAAATCGCTGCGGTGGGGCTCTCAGCGTCCAAAATGGCTCCGTAGGGCTGAAGGAGGGATGGGGGAGAGGGGTGGGGCTGGAGCCAAGTCCCAGGGGAATCACAGCGCTTTTTCATCCAGAGTGACCTTTGTGTTTCCTGAGACTCCTCGGATTCTTTCCAGGTTGTCACAGGGTTTCTCTGGGATTGGATTTTAGGGCAGTTGGGTGGATTTTTAATGCATTTTGAAATAAACAAGAAAATGGCACAAATTGGTGAACACAGATCCCGTGTGTGCCCCCTTCACCCACCCTCCCCAAGATGGTGCCATCTTACAACATTCTACAACCTTGTCAAATGAGGACATTGTCATTGGCACAATACTATGAACTAGAGGCCAGTGTTACAAAAAATTCACCACATTTCACATGCACTTTTCCTTCATATGCCGTTCTGTGGAATTTTTACCACATGGCTGCTATTAACGCCAATCTCTTTCTCCCTGAAAGCTAATGATCCGACACCGTTTCATATTCAAGCAGAAGTGACGATGAAAACAAACTTCTTTGGTACCCGAGACGTGTGCACAGAACTGCTGCCTCTAATGAGACCCCAAGGTAGGTGTGACAAGGGACACAGGCAGTGGTGTTTCTGGAATGATCTTGCCGCTGCCTCTCTGACCTCATCTACGGGCCCTGCTCCCTCTCCCTGCTCAGCCACCCCGGCCTCCCTGCTGTGTCCCCACCTGGACAGGTGCCCTTCCCCTCAGGACTCTGTACACACGTGTCCAGCACTCAGCAGTGCCCTCTGTCCCACTGGCCTTTCACAACTGGCTGCTTCTTCTCCTTTATATCTTCATTCCAAACTCCCCTCCCAGAGGCCTTTTTCTGGCTCTGTGTCCTCACAGGTGCACTTCCCTGGGGATTTCTTCCTGGACCCTTCCTTCTCCCTCTCCCCCCCTCTGAGTGATCTTATTCAGGCTAGTGGACTCTTCCCTATCCAAACTTGTTAGGGCCCCCTAAACTCTGTCACCTGCCTAAAACATTGCCAGAGTTCCAGACACACATAGTTCTCCTCCTGCCTCTCTTTCTCCTCAGGACGCCCTGCCCAGGCCAGGTGCAGATCCCTCCCCATCGCCTCCAGAAGGCCTGCACACTCACATGTGCCACAGATGGCCACAGGCCAGTGGTATATCTCCAGGCAGATGAGGCAGCTCTACTGTCCCTCAGGCCTGCTGTCACCTGGAGAGGCCCCCACACCACTGCCTCTGTCCAGGCCTGCTCAGGCTGCCTATATGCACATTTTTTTCAATAAGCATACGTATAGTACTATAAATATATTTTCTTTTATTTACGATTTTCTTAACCTGTTCTCTACCTTACTTTATTGTAAGAATACATCATGTATGTTAATCGACTATTTATGTCATGGATACGCCTTCAGTCAAAATCAAACTATCAGTAAACTTTTGGGGAAATCAAAAGTTAATGTAGATTTTTCTACTGCATGGGGATTCAGCAATTCCTAATCCCTGGGTTGTCAAGGTTCAACTGTATTTGGATCAGGAAACACAAAACCAGAAGTAGTTAGCAATGCTCCATCGACAGGTGCTCAGGGAAGGACTATTATACAGAAAAACCCAGAATTGAAGGAAGAAAATTATCGATTGAATGTAACTTCGAGCTTAGTTGGTTGTTTGTGATCGGTCGTCCTTAGGTTTCAGTTTTGTAAGTTTGAGGCATTTACAGGCATTGATTTTGGTTTGCTACATATGCCACCAGGGTATTAGAGCCACTGCAAAGTAATGGCCTCCTTGTTTAATTAATTTAGCAGTATAGAAATTAGCTGACAGGTAAATCCAGTTTTTCATCAGGCTTGTCATTTTCCATCAGTATTACATCCTGAGCAGACGGTCACTCAGTCTTCCGGTACATTTGCTCATCACTCTCCATAGCATCATATGATTCGTTTATAAATGGTAGTTGAATATTACTAAGAAGTCCAATGTGACACCACGTCACAGTGCAGTAGCACATCTAACAGAAAAATAAGAATCAAGAGATGCTGGCACATTGCTAGAGTCCCACTTGGTCACTCACAGTTGGTTCAGTCCATATCACATGAGCACATCTGCCACAGAGATGTCACTCAGGTTCTCAGGCCTACATTCATCCTTGTGAGCATATTCTTATAGGAGCCATTTCCAATTTCCTGTGGAGCATCTGCTCGGCGCCCTCCCCACCAGAGCATTTCTCAGGCATCATTGGAGACATTATGGGTATAACAAGTTTAGGACCGTCCTGTCCTTGACTCATGCAGGCAGTCTTCATTAATGCTCACAGCAAACTCATGATACTTCAGTGGAAATTTTCTAGTACCAAATCTTCACGAAACTGGAATTCATCTTTCTTTGCCCTTCTCCATAACATTTTGTGTTGTATTTTAGGCAGAGTGGTCAATGTGTCTAGCATAGTGAGCCTCAGATCGCTTAAAAACTGCAGCCTAGGACTGCAGCAGAAGTTCAGAAGTGAAACCATCACAGAGGAGGAGCTGGTGGAGCTCATGAACAAGTTCGTGGAAGACACAAAGAACGGGGTGCACAGGAAGGAGGGCTGGCCTGATACTGCATATGGAGTGACAAAAATTGGTGTCACGGTCCTGTCCAGAATCCATGCCAGGAAACTGAGTGAGCAGAGGAGAGGGGACAAGATCCTCCTGAATGCCTGCTGCCCTGGGTGGGTGAGAACAGACATGGCTGGACCTAGAGCCACTAAAAGCCCAGAAGAAGGAGCAGAGACCCCCGTCTACTTGGCCCTTTTGCCCTCAGATGCTGAGGGACCTCACGGGGAGTTTGTTATGGAGAAGAAAGTTGAACAATGGTGAACCGAATTCATGGTTCCATCTATGGGGCCCTCTGTGAAACCCCCTCCCTTGCCCAAAAGAACTCTTTCCCTGTCAATACTATCCCTATCCAAAACAAAACAAAGTGTAAAATATCCCTATTTGTATTTGAGTAGTCTGCTAATTCTGTGAAAGATTTTTTATTTTAGCTGTGAAAAGGCAGAGAAAAATGAAATCAGTGAAATAACACCAGAAATGAATAAATGGTTCTTTATAAATGCCTGTTTGTACAGACTGTATATGCTAAACCAGCAGAAAAATCTAATACACCTAAGTAGATGAGGAGAAGTTACAGTCTAGTTCAAGAGTAAGCAAACATTATAGAAAGAGACAGATAGTAATACTTTTAGCTTTGCAGGCCACACAGTCCCTATAAGATCTACTCGGATCTGCTGTTGTAGCTGAAAGAACCCAGAGCCAACGCATAAGCCAATGAGCATGGTTGGATGTGCCAGGGAGCATTTTTCACCAGCCTCTGGTATAACATGGGCAACACATCTGCTGTGGTCTCTTAAAATACCGGATTCCTTGGGAAAAACAATTGCCACGTGTGAAATAGGAGTGAGAACACAAGATACATCCATACGGCGATCTGAGACAAGGGGAGGAACTGAGTATAGACTGGGTGTAGATCATGACTCCCAAGTGACTCGCTCCAGGACACCAAAGTGACAGAAGATTCTTCCTGCCCAAACCAAGCCTGGCTCCTGTGGGCTTGAATGAACACCCACCACCTGCCTCCCTTCACAGGAACATCCCTGTTCTAAAGATGCTTCTGCTTACTGATTACATTTCTTTTTTTATGTATATATGAAATTTATTGTCAAAGTGGTTTCCATACAACACCCCGTGCTCATCCCAACAGGTGCCCTC